CATATACTTCTCATAACACTCACTGCGCTATCTATAGACCTTCTCTCACAATCCTAATCGCTCTTTTTATCAGGATAGCCTCAGTGAGACGTTATTTCACTCCAACATGCCTCCAAAATGAACTATGCAGAACTCAAATGCAGAGCAAACAAACAACAGAGTCCCTGACAATCCACACATTACCAATACTACGGAACCCCCCCAAGTCAAGTGAACACAGGAGCGCGACCTGTGGAATGCCACCATACCAGAAATCAATGCAGCTATAGAAAGAGTGCAGGAAAAGGAAATTTGATGAATAAAACTACAAGAACTACAAGAAATTGAACAGCAATTGCACCAACAAGACCATATACCCTTTCATGAGATGATCAACGCACATCCATCTGAACCTTCCGCACCTGCATCCAAGATTGATTTCCCAACTTGACCAAGTACACCTTCAACCTCAGTTAGTGCATGAACTGAATCCATGCACTTCAAGAAACCTCCACCCAGCATCCAGAATGTCTCCACCTTCAACACTTCAGGCAACAAGGAACTCAAGACATTCATGAACAAATTGACAAATCACTTTGAGATGTATCATGACTATTTTGCACTCAATGAAAAAGGCAAGATAGCAACTGCAGCAGCATTCCTCAGCAATGACTTGATCAATCACTGGATGCATGAGAGGAAGAGCAATCCAGATGCTACTTGGGAAACTTTTCAAGCCTTCTGCCAAAGAGAAACTGCAGATCCATGTCTCCAATGATGCAATGCAGCACTAAACTACCATAGGGCAAACCAAAGAGAATATCAATCAGTAACTGAATTTGCCAATGTTCTGGACAGCCTGGAAGAGCAAGCAGGACTGAGTTACAAAGACCACCAATGAAAAGTACACCTGCTAGTATGATTGTACAAACCCATCTGCAGGTTAGCCCAACAAATGCAGGGTGAACCTGAAGAGTACCACAGTTATATCTCTTGGCTCTGCAGCATTGAAGACAACATCCCAGGCAGACCTCATGTACTCAACAGTGCCAAGAGAAACTGCTACAGCAGAAAATACCAAGAGAGAAAGAACACCAACTCCTCCACACCTCAAGATCGCCCAAGAAATCAATGGACAGGTGAAAAGCGCAAAAGAGATCCCAATGATGGACAAAAACCTCAATTTTGTTGGAAGTGCAAGAAAGGACCACACCCACCAAATGAATGCCACAGTGTGCCATGGAAAAAAGACTTTGGCAAGCCAAAAAACTAGATGGACCAGTACTGGGAGCTGCTACTGTACTGGGCATTGCCGCACTGCAGCCTGAACAGACTGAATGAAAACACCTGACATTCACTGTTTTGGTAGAGACACCCCAAGGACCAAAATCAGCATATTGCCTCCTAGACAGCAGAGCTGAAGCAAACTTCATACAACAGCATTGGGCCAAGCAACACCTCCCTGACATTGATAGCCCAGTGTGCCAAGTGAGGGCCATCAATGACACCACTGTCAAATCATATGGCTCATGAGAACTACACCTCACAATTGGCAATACACATATGGAACTTCAAGACCACATCAAGATAATGGAATCAGTCGACATGACTGAATATGACCTCATATTAGGCTACCCCTGGCTCAAACAGGTAGACCCAGATATACAATGGTCTGAGAAACATTGGTTCTACTGATCCTGCAGAGACAGACAGAACAACATCAGTGTCATCTCCCCACAGACCTGCGCCATGCTACTTGAACAGGGTGACTCAGTCTATATGATACAGCCCCATCATGAACAGAGAACAACATATATCAACACAGGATACTTGGCTGCTGCATCCATGGATGAAAAACCTGCAGACAAACCAGGAATACCACTGCAATATATTGATTATGTGCATGTCTTCTCAGAACATGAGGCAGGCATCCTTGCCTCCCATGGGGACCATGACCATGCAATTGAATTAGAACTGGATAAACCTCCTCCATTGAAACCAATATACCCCCTATCACAAAATGAGCTTGGAGTTGTATGGGAATACCTGCAGAAAGCCCTTGAGTTAGGCTGGATCTGACCTTCCACAAGTCCCGCAGGTGCCCTGATTCTCTTTGCACCCAAGAAGGATGGCAGTCTCCGCCTATGTGTGGATTACTGGGGTCTAAATTTGATCACCATCAAAAACTGCTATCCAATTCCTCTCATCAGTGAGATCATGGATCGCCTATCAGGTGCCAAAATCTTTACTCAGCTTGACCTGCGCGATGCATACCACCACATCAGAATCCACATGGGTGATGAATGGAAAACAGCCTTCCACACAAGATATGGACATTTTGAATACCAAGTCATGCCATTTGGCCTTGCCAATGCACTGGCAACTTTTCAATCTTACATACACTGAGCCCTCAGCGGCCTTCTTGACACATGTTGTATTGTATACCTTGATGACATCCTCATCTACTCCTGCACTGAGGAGGAGCACATTCAGCATGTGCACATGGTGTTAGAATGCCTGCAAAAGTACCAACTATACTGCAAATTGAGTAAGTGCGCATTCCATATGGATATTGTGAACTTCTTGGGTTTTGTGATTAGTCTGCAGGGCGTCTCAATGGAGTGTGAATGAGTTGATACCATCTTGGACTGGCCAGCCCCTGTGAGTGTGCATGACATCCTCATGTTGATTGATTGATTGATTGATTCAAGTTTATAGTCCATATCCAGCTCCTGGGGCTATGACAGACTGTCCGTGCCTGGACGGGGGTCTCCCCCCGTCCCTTTTGGTTTCACTACTTTATATTACATTCTCATACCTGTTCCTCGCCCCGAAAACCGGCCTTTCTGCCCGGGGCATTTGGGCGCAGGGCTGGGCCCCTAGCCCTCCTCGTCTTCTTCACTTGTTGGGCCGTATGGCCCCCCCCGTTACCCTTCTTCCCCGGTCCTTTCTTCCCCAGTCCCTTCTTCCCCTGTCCCTTCTTCTCCCGTTCCTTCTATCTCCAGTGCCTCCCATCCCCATTCATCTTGTCTCCGGGCTTCGTCCTGGGCTGCCCTGGGGGATCGGGCTCCCATGCCCGTGTCCCGTAGGAACTGTAGAATGGCTGGGGTAGCCCTGGGGTCCCCAAACAGTCTTACCTCTGGGTGCGCCTCCCCTGTGGCTGGCCCGGGTGCCCCGGCGTCCCGCAGGCTCCGGAGGAGAGTTCTCCGGGGCCCTGCATTCTTTCGGCATTCCAGGAGTAGATGATATACTGATTCCCTGGGTGCCCCGCAGCCTTGGCAGGCTTGTGATTCCCGGGCTTGTATCCTCTGGAGGTGGGGCCCAATGGCCGCGTGGCCTGTTTTGAGCTGATAGTACTGACTGGCTAGGGCTTTGGGGGCCCCTGCGGCCCTAGGGTCCAGCTTCCAGCCTTGTTGGGGCCTGTATTTCCTCTGGGTGATTGGTGCTCGCTTGGCCAAGGCCTCTTGGAGCCATTTCCCCCGCGCCTTGCTGGTGGCCTCTGTCTGGGCCCTCCGGAGGTGGGCTAGGGATATTTGGCCCTGGGGATCCTGCGGGGTCCTTGCTGCTGCGGCCTTTGCTGCCTGGTCTGCCTTCTCATTGCCCTCCACCCCACAGTGCCCGGGGACCCACTGGATAGCTACCACTTGGCCCCGGGCAATCAGTGCCTGGGCCAGGTTTGCTGCTTCTATTGCCGCAGCCTGCCCTGGGCTCGTTCTGGTGTGCCTTAGTCGGGCTATGGCTGCCTGGGAGTCTAGGAGGATAGTAACTGGGCCTCTTGTGGTGTGCCGTGTGGCGTGTTTTAGGGCATCCACCACTCCCATCAGCTCTGCATCAAAGACCTCTGCTCCCTTGCCCATGGGCTTCCCTTGGGTGTGCCATGGGCCGCATCCCTGGGTTTTCCAGGCTATACCTGCACCCACACGGCCATCATCCAATCTTGAGCCGTCAGACCAAAAGGTTCCCTCTGGGGGTATCCTTTGGGCATCCTCCTTGGCCTGGTCAGCTTGCGGGATTCTGATAGTCCCTGGGAATCCCCTGCCTTCGGGCTCTGCTTGCTCAAAGCCCCCAGAGGGGTCTATTGCCATGGTTTGGTTCACCTTCCATGCCAGATACTGTCCCAGGGGCCTCGGGGGGCGTCCCCCAGCCCATGCCCGATCATTAGTTGGTTGCTCCTCTGGCTGCGCATGGCAGTCTCCTTCCCGGAAAGTGATTGGGAGGATCCCCCGGGCTGGTTGGGTCTCTGGTAGGCCCATTAGTCGGACCGCATATGATCGTTGGCGGGCATCTAGTAGGCTGGATGCAGGTTCTAGGGCTGCCTCCCGTACTAGAGGGCCAATTGGGGTGGTCTTGAAAGCTCCTGTTATGGCCCGGGCCTGCTTGTTGACCAGGCCCTGGAGGCCCTGTTCCCGGTCCTTTTGTCCTCGCCACCAAAGTTCCGCTCCATATAGGGCTATGGCATGGACTACTGCCTTCTGGAGCCTCCATATGAGCCCGGGGGGTAGCCCCTGGCTCTTGCATAGTGCCCGGATTCTTGCCTCAGCCCTGGTGGCTTTCTGGAGTCTATCCTGATAGTGGGCCTTAAGGGTGAGCCCACTGTCCAAGAGTATCCCAAGCCAGCGTGTGGTTTCCAGGTTAAAATTCACTGAGTGACCCTGGATTGTGATTCCGGCTCTCCCAATCTGCTCCCTGAGCCGTCTTCCAGACTGGCGTGAGAATAGGGCTGCCTCAGTCTTATCACGGTCAAATTGGACCCCATTTTCTATCCCCCAGGCTATCGCTGCCTCCCCTGCGGCCTGAAGTTGGTTGCACACTTCTTGCACAGAGGTGGCCCGGGCTATGAGCCCTATATCATCTGCAAAGGATAGGGGGTAGATCCCAGGGGCTGCTTGCTCTATGGCGTCAAAGGCTCCCTGGATGTAGATTAGGAAGAGGATTGGTGACACTGGAGACCCCTGGGGGAGTCCTGAACTTATGGGCATGGTTGGCCCAGGATGGCCATCAATAACTAACTGGGCCTTTCTATCCGATAGGAAAGAGGCTACCCAGTTGGTCAAAGATCCATCTAGTCCCATGGACTCCAGCTGATTGACTAGTAGGGCTGCATTGACATGGTCAAAGGCCCCTTTTATATCCATGAATAGTGCTCCGGCCAGCTGCTTTGCTGCCCAGCCCTGGTGGACTTCCTCTATCAGGCAACCCACTGCATCTGGGGCACTTCTATGCCTGCGGGCACCCATCTGTCCCCAATGTAGGGTCTGCTTTTGCTCACAAAACTCTGCTATCTGGGTGGCCACTAGTTTCTCTACCACTTTTCCCAGGCCGTTGAGTAGGCTAATTACCCGGTAGGCTTTCACTAATGAGTAGTCTGTCTTGTTGGGCTTCCTGAGTAGTATGCCCTTAGCTATCTTCCAGCTTGGGGGATGGAAGCCCAGCCGTAGGCACTGGCGTGTTAGGGCTACTATCCGCAGGGAGTCCCATGTCCATAGAAGCCGGAGGGCCTGGAAGTTGAGCTGGTCCACTCCTGGGGCCTTTTGGATGGCTTGTGAGAATAGGGCTTGCCAGACTGTTGATTCTGTGGCCTCTATATGGGCATTCCCCAGCGGGGGGCAGCGCACTGGGCGATCACTTGGGGCCTGGGGGAAAGCTGCCTCTCTAATTAGGGCTTCTTTCTCCTCCATTGTTGTGGCGGCATGTGTGTCTCCAGGGGCTCGGTATAGGGTGGGTGTGGTTCCTTGGTCCTGGGGCTTGGTGTACTTTAGTGCTGACCAGCACCGGGCCGCTTCTTCTGGGGTAGGAGGGGTGCCCAGGTGATTCTCCTGGGTGACATCCTCATGTTCCTTGGCTTCATGAACTTCTACCGCTGGTTTATCCATGGATACTCTAGGATAGCCGCACCACTTAACGAAGCAACAAAAGGAAAACCCGCTCATACAGGGAAACAGAAGTTCAGGAAAGGAGAATTTTATGATGATCCCAACTTTGAGCTACCAGAAAATGCACTGTGTGCTTTCAATGACCTCAAGACCAAATTTGCATCTGCACCATTACTTGCACATTTTGATCCAAAGCACAAGATTGTCATTGAACCTGATGCATCTGACTTTGCCATGGCTGGAGTCTGCGCACAGCTGCATGATGACAGTGAATGGCATCCCATTGCCTTCTGGTCCAGAAAGTTCCAAGGCACAGAAATAAACTATGGTACACATGACAAAGAGCTTTTAGCCATTGTCAAATCATTCAAACACTGGAGGCACTACCTAGAGGGTAGTATGCATACAATCACTGTCTTGTCTGACCATGCCAACCTGTCTTATTTCATGATGACCACTGAACTAAACAGGCAGCAGGCAAGATGGGCAGAAAAGCTTGCTGCATTTGATTTCATCATCCAGCACCGCCCTGGGACAAAGAATCCTGCAGATGCACTGAGCCGTCATCCGGACTATGAGCCCAGAGAAGGTCAGAGCCTTGGTGCAGATGCACTGCTCTCAACACTTCAAAGAAAGTTCTGCCATAGCTCCTCTACAATCCCACAAGCAAGTGAAGAAATTTTTGAAAATGGACCTAAGATGGTCGCAATGCTCGTGCGCTGGGAACTAAGAACCACTCCCATTTGTGCACACAATACTTCCTGCACAGAAGAATGCAAAGCTGCAGATGAGAATCACACTGATGGCAATACAGGAATTCCAGATATCCTGGTGTCACAGCTCATGGTTAGGGCAGCCATGAGTACCAAGACAGTGTATAGTGCCGCACCTGCAGAGTCAATGGCAGATTTGATAAGAGTACTCCAGTCCAAGGACAAGGACACCTCATGCATTCTGTCAGAGTTGACCTCCAAGGAGCACACCGCACTGAGTGATTCGCCCTGGAGCAAGTCAGAAGATGGACTGCTCAGGTTCTGTTAGGATACAAAGCCGCATAGCAGACTTATGCATGTACATAACGCGCACGTGCGGTTAATAAGCACCCGCACATCACATGACCGCGACATAAAGTCTTAACCTCGCTGATGGCCGAGG